GCCTGTTTGCACGAACAGATTTCTAATCACTATCCGAAAGTTCAGCACCGAAGCAATTTTCATCGTCTCAAAATTAAATCCTAATTGTCGTAAATATCTAGAATATCTCTCAACAAATTTGAATACTTCGGCGGGCTGCGAAAGTTAAATTGCAAACGTCCCTTATTCATTTTCAGCATAAATTAACACGAGTAATTTACTTGTCAAATTAAACATTTCTTTGATACTAAAACTAGATACCCTAATGAGCATATGAATATTGTGAATGTTAATAGAAACAGAAATTAATCATTTTTTTCTATTTTCATTGAAAGAAGACCATTGTGAAAAGTGAATCGAGTCCATTGTCAATGCCACAAATGCAGTACACTGAGAAGTGTTGAAACACAAAGAGATGCAAATCATCTCAAGGCAACGTCCAGCCAGGTCATTTCACACGGAACAAGCTTATTTGAAAGTAGCAAACGGGTAAATTATTCACCTTTTAGTTGGTGCGTGTCATGATTTTACGTCTGAGCGCTGCCAGTTCAGGTCAACCGAGGCCGATGATGGCTATAAAAGGCGCAACGACTACAAGCAAACCACCAGTTGAGTTACTCGACAGCCACCGACATGGTGAGTAGTACAGGAAATTTAATTGAAAATACGCATAACATTTTACGTTGCGAGACAATCTATTTTACTTTGGTATTTCAAGTTATGCCTGATGAGCTGTTTAAACGTAAGTGTATGTTGAACGAAACCTCTTCGAGACGCCTGTTGAAAGCTGGTTTTAAAGATTCACGGCGAATAATTTCCGAAAATAAGTATTTTCAGGACTTGTCTTGGGAACTATCGAAAAAAAATTAATATTGATTCATCAGCACCATAAATAAATATGAATAATTCAGCCACACAAAATATATTATACCCTGATCCGGCGTTCACCTGCATCCTTGTTACAGTTCCGCCTCGTCTTCGCCGTCTTGCTGCTCTGCGCCGTCGCCCTCGCGGCTCCAGGCTATGGAGGATTTGGAGGAGGATTTGGCCGCGGTGGATTCGGTGGTTTCGGACACGGCGGTGGATTCGGAGGTTTCGGTGGTGGATTTGGACATGGCTTTGGCGGTGGATTCGGACGTGGTTTTGGCCATGGAGGATTTGGCGGCTTCAGAGGAGGCTTTTACGGTTAGTGAGTTGAAGAGTATATAGTTTTGTGTGCAACATAATTTTTTACGGATGCATTTGGTAGCATTGTTGGATATTTGATATACGCAAGAATACTTTCACAAACAAAATACGATTTTATCATTGAATTAATGGATTCATTCTCTGTTTTTATCGTATGACCGATATAATCTTTCACATTATTCATTCGCAGGATAAGTCACAAGGTTGGAGCTTCCCATCGCTTGCCTCAACTGGACACCTCAAATCCACGATCTTACCATGCATCGAAATTATTTACATTTCCCTGCTTTTATCGATCGAACGACAATAATAAAGATTCATATATACTTCTTACTATTTTAGTTTATCCTCTTTTAAGCACCTTCCACAGTTTTTTACCTTGAAAACAGAATGTTAAACAGAGTGAAAACGTTTGGCTGTCAGACCCTCACACTGAATACTGAATCAAACTGACAGGTCGAATCCTACATCCCATGATAAAATATCAATAATTTATTAGATGTAATATCAAAGTAGGACTGTGGTATGATTGAAGAATATCCTTTTATTATTGTAAAGGCTAGCCACAAACATGGTGGACACTACCGAAATGAATTAAGCCTTAACTGTTTTTTTAATGAACCGAAGCCGTGCAGGTCAACTAATTGGCTATACAAGACCATTTGAGGTCAATTGAGGAGAGAAATTCGTTCGTTTTACCAAAAATGGCTACACGAATCTTAGCAGGGTAAGGTGTGGCGATGGATACAATCGGATATTTTGAATTTAATTGTCCAAGAGTTCGAGAAAAACTTTTCCATTCATTAAAAAGACTGAATATTGTCCGTTATTTGGTGTTGAATATCGTCACTCATTCGCATGGTCCAAGTTTGAAGAACCGTACAGAACTTTATAATAAATCATATATGAAATTAATTTCAAGAGAAGCAGATAAAGCTCAAAACTTCATGTGATATTCAGGAAATAACTTCGTGGACTAAAAAATTTTCAGTTGACGATCGACAGAAATTGTTTTGTGCTATTTGCGTGAAGTTTTAGATTGCAGTTCCAATTTCGGCACAGCCTCTCATGCTAGTAGAGTTTGGCAACGATTCTGAGTGTAATCAAATCGGTGGTCTTGCTCGTGTTTCGTGAGGGAAAGTATGAAAAGTATGGAAATATTTGCGATATTATTTAATAGTAGTATGTCACTGAAGTGATATTATCAAATTATGAAACCAATTGAATGACAAATATATATATATGCATTAGGAGCGTGCTAGCGATACTTGGGGAAGTTCATACAAATTATATTTTATCTTCAATCGGTGGAAAAAATTATAGGTTATTATTTTATTAAATTATTTAATGTATATATAATTTATCATGACGTAGAAGAACTTACTAAACTTCATAAATGGTTTAAAGAACACAACCTTTACCATCGCTTTTGCAATTGCAGTTGATCACATCAGTTATGATTACACTAATATTATAACAATTTTTCTCTATTAGTTACTCACTTTCATGAAAGATTTTTTCTAAAAAAATTATAATCGCCAAGAAATTTTATCGCTGATAGATTAAGCTTCTGGACGCTCGACGTCATTATACTGCGAAATCGAGTTAAAAATTTTTCCTAAGTATTGAGAAAAAGAAATCTCATCAGTTATAATGTGATGAAGAAACTAACCGAGGCATGGAAATATTATTCATTGAGCTCACCAAATTTTATTTTAATAAACTATTTTAAATACTATAGTTATCAATACTCATTCCTCAAAATGCGATAAAGATTGCGATAAAATCGAATATAGTTTTTACACTTTTTGCACTTTTTTTCTTCACTACATTTTATCACAAATCTATAAAATCTCGTACGTAAGGATATATTGGGATAAATGCAAGGCTTACAAGCATCCAAAACTGTTCTCTAGGGCATGAATATTTATTTATAACATGATCCGCTCGTAGCCCAACGATCTGAACAAACCGACCATCGTTATTCCAGTCGGCAGTGCATGAAATGTGGGAGCGCCATTAGTGGTCCCAGTAGAGGACTAAACTTTGTGATAGTCCGCCCATAAACTGATGGTAAACAGCGAATTAATAGTAAATAGACCCCGAGTAAACTTAACAATATAATCAGGCAAATGTTAACAAAAACTGAATAGATATAATAATAATTGCCGAGTAATGATTATGAGGCACTAATAAATTTAACGATGAAATGCGACTAATTTTAATTACTAATATTATTATGATTTGTATTATTGTTATTACTAATATACTTATTATTATTATTTAATTATTATTATTTATCAATTATAGAGGAAACATTGTCCAAGTATATAATTGCGGTTGCAAAAATGTTTAGAAATTTTGAGGTTTTGAATCAAACAAATCAAAGAAAATAACAATTTCATGCAAGCGTATTCTGCCTGAGATTTAATTTCAAAATTAAATTAGCCTGATTCAAATTGCATAATTTGTCGAATTGTATGCATTTGGAATGACGTGGGAATTATGCCATGAACTTTGACCATTAATTTCAACCCAAATTTTTAATTTCAATCACCCATAACCAGCATCTGTCAATGGACATATAATTATACAATATATTTCATAAATATATATAGCTGAGAAAAAAGTATTGGCTCCCAAAAATTCTATTGCAATTTTTGTGAGATTTTCTTTCCCTGATAACAGCGACTGGTTACTTAGATTCAATAACATGACTCAAGAACGTAAAACTCGTCATTCCAAACTCATAGAAAAAAGTTCCACACTCTACCATCCAACTCGAGGTGATCATGTGGTTAACTTAAACGGACAGTTTTATTTACAACTTAAGTTACCTTCGAATTTTAAATCTAATTTTTAATAATGACAAGTTCTCTGATGGCATTTGAATTTTCCGTGATAATGATGATAAAGTTCGAGGGCAACTTGGGGGAGATTTCTATTACAACAGGAAATGAGAGCACTGGGGGTAGACCACAAATAAATTAATTAAGTCTGTGCAAATACATTCCCGGAAGAATTGTATAACAAGTGGAAACATTGCAACAAGTTGAATAAGAAACAAAGAAACATAGACGCAAAAACTTTTGATTTTTTGAGTGACGAATTTAGCTACTATGTATTCGAGCTCCAAAAAAAATGTTTCCTAGTAATTAGAAATTTTAAAAGTTTCATTGCGAGTTTAAAAAGCAACTAATTGCTTTTTGGATCTATTCTGGGCGATGAATGAAATGTTTTCTAAAGGAGAAACAACGCGGAGCTGGACTTCAATGCCGCAGGTCCTAAAGCCATCCAGCGCAAACACAGAACGGCTTGCTTATCATCTCAAGGCTGCTTCCAGTCAAGTCATTCCACCAGGAAAAGCTAGGTCAAAATTAGCTAGTAATTTGTTCTCCAAGCCATTCGCGTGTGTCACGATTTGCCGTTTGAATACAGCTGACTCAGGTCAACCGAGGCCGACTATGGCTTTATAAGGCGTAACGCATTAGAACAAGTCAACAGTTGAGTTACTCGACAGCTTCAGTCAACATGGTGAGCAAAATATAGGAATTGTCAACAACAAATCAAACTACGAACAATAATTCGTAGATGATATTTTGAAATTTAAAATTTATTGTATTAATCGTTTCATTTGCTTAATATTTATGTCGGTATGTAAACCAAACGCTCCTTTCAATTTTAATGAAATTTTCTGGGTAAAAAATTAAGTCATATCGTCTTGATGAACGATTTCTCTCTTGATGAGGCAAACACTTAATTGCTTGTCCGTAATAAATATATGTAAGTATGAACGACGTTCGACACGACGTTCACGTGTCCACCCTCCACAGCTCCGCCTCGTCTTCGCCGTCTTGCTGCTCTGCGCCGTCGCCCTCGCGGCTCCAGGCTATGGAGGATTTGGAGGAGGATTTGGCCGCGGTGGATTTGGTGGTTTCGGACACGGAGGTGGATTCGGAGGTTTCGGTGGTGGATTTGGACATGGCTTCGGCGGTGGATTCGGACGTGGTTTTGGCCATGGTGGCTTTGGTGGCTTCAGAGGAGGCTTCTACGGTGAATGAAGAAGAGAGTTAAATTAATTTGATCAAGCTTGAAAACCTTTTGATTTTGCATAATCTTTTCAGTTTTTTTGCAAAAGCATCAACATCAAATCTATTTACTTTCCAGCGTTGAATAAAAAGTACGCAAATGAACGCTGTTTTTCGCCATGCTATTCAACCGGCTAATTGTGTACTTGATTTTCTTCAACAGGATAAGATGGCTGGTTGGCGGGGGCCATCATTTTCATCTGATTGCCGCCAATGCTGGATGGAATAAGCAAACGACTTCATCATATGATATAATTTATAAAATTTTCTTTCATTCAGAAGCAATAAAAAAGCAAAATTTTAATGTATTTTTTGTATCCCCTTATCGCACTTGCTTAAAACATCAATAAATGAGTTCGTTTTAGTGACAAAAATTTTCGATGTAAAAAACTCTGAATTATGACTTAGAGCATCGCAGTTGGGGTTTCGTCTCCCCTTGTCGTAATCACGTAGTATGCTTGGCCACCTCTCGATAAATGTCGAATTTGAGGGTAGACAAATGCAAGATGTTATTTAATAAATATTTCAATCTGCGTGATTAGTCGGTTAATTGGACAAGTTCATGAAGTGAAGTCCCCAAGTTGTTGTTTTTTAAAGAAAAAAGGCCGTCAAGAATTGCTGTGGCCACGACCAGTGTGATCAATTCATATTAATATATCTAAATAGGATGCGGTAGAAATCAAGGTGCTGGAGGCCTGATGACCATTGAGGAGCGCTTAAAAAAATAATAATACAACAGGTTTCAGTTGAATTTCTACAGACATGCCTAACGAAAATAATTGAAGAACCCAAAAATCTCGGTTGAATAAAAGAAATAAGTTAGCTTCAATTTATTACGTTTTCAATTTATTAACTCTCCTTTGCAAACGAAGAAATTGTAAACGATTAAATCTCAAGCCGTGAGTGACAAAAGAGTGACGTGAGTGACGTGAATGAAGAAAATTATAAGAACGTTAAAATGTTTGATATGTTAGAGCGCTTGATGAATTAAGAGTACCACAAATTAACGTAATGGAATGGAAAAATCAAATCAATTCATAAACTACCGCACAAGTTTCCTCATTTTTGAAATTTCGCCTTATTAAAAATCATGATATTCCATGAATTTTCTTGGTTAAATTTTACCTTAGCTCAACAAAATAAAAATGTTACTTTTTAAATATTATTAGTTTATGCTGCAAACGTGGATTAACAAAGGCAAAAACCGACATTCTCCGTTGCAAAATCTTGATTTCTGTGTCACTCTGGTTGCTACGAAATAAATTTACAAAATCAAAGGAAGACATTCTGGTAAATCGTTTTGGGTGTCTTTTAATTAAATATGTTGATGAAGACTTTTATGCCAGAAATCAATTCACACTAAGGGAATAAAACTGTTGATGTAATAGTGAACTTTCTGCGAACTTCTTTGTCTCAGAAAATTCAGTCCATTGAAGGCATGTTAATGGAATATCTTCTGCGCATATTTATCAGAAAATTATCAGAGAATATTGAAACAAATTTTCCAACTCAGAATGGAAACATTCGAATTTTCCAACTCAGAAACGAGTGTTTCCAACTCAGAAACTAGCATTATCAGAATGTGAAATTTAATACAAGCTTTAACTCTTCAGTTTTGTTTATCTGCATTGGTATGCATGACCATCGTAAAATATATACTTATCACTATACACGGGGCAGGATGACTCGGCAATTTTTGTATTGGTTAGGAAGACGAGCCCTGCTGAGTTGCACCCAACGCTCAAGCGCCTCTCCTGCCTGTAATTGTAAAATTTCCGATGAAGACAAGTAAGATGCGAACAAATCGACTCAGATGTGAACAAATAATTGGTTAGGTTTCAACAGCTGGGAACAAGCCTCAATTAGTATCTCACTAATGCTTCTATTTTCGGCTTGTTTTCGTGCGATTAAAAATCGTTCGAATCGCTGTGACTCTGAAAAAATTTCCCATAAATCGGCTAAAGAAAATTTGAAATTTGGCTCCTTGTTGGGTGAACTTGACCTGTCAGCATCGATGTCTTTTCTACCGATATTTCTTTTCAGTTAAAATGTCACCAAAATGTACCAGAACTCGAACTCAAATTCTTTTTTATTTATATTTTTTATTACTTGATTATAGCAATCGCTAGAATTTTAAATTAACTGATATTAACACACAACACCCTTTATTTGGAATTAGCCTCTGTCCTTGAAAAAGCTTGACTTTTATCGAGTGTGCTTTATCCTTTCCCATCCATGATTTAAATTGAGTCAACTTTGTCTCTCAAATCCTTGAAAAACATTGAGGTACTTTATCCATTCCCATACTCGTCTCATATTGAGTGTGCTTATATTTCATTTTCAACCAATCCATATTATTCCAAAGAAAATGATATTCCGCGGTATAATAATTGCACGCTTTCTGCACGTAAAAAAACGTTTTTCTGCATCAAAAACTTAGCTGGGGTGAACGAGAGTGTAATGTGAATTATTTGTATCATTGGAGATTAAACGTAGAAAGATCCAAGTGATTTATTGATATCTAGGCTGCATAGTACATAGAGATGCTGCCTTGCTCTCATACAGCATCATGCATAAATCAAAACCAAGCGCATATTCCTTCATTGGCCTCAGATCCCCGCCAGTATATCAGTGCGTGAGGAACTGAATGCTTTTTTTAAGTAATAATCGAGAGATTGGTTATGCATTTTTCGTGGAAGTTTATTTTATCTGCTGAATACAGTGATAAAAAACTATATCGTATCGATCGCAATATTTTCACTGAAAATATGGTAAATCTATACCGTTAGATTGCAATAGCAATCGAAATACGTGCAAATTGAGTGCATCCATGATTTCATATCCACAAAGAAAGTTCATTCATTGGATACTTAAAGTTGAAGCGGTCATTATTTTCGTACGATCGAAAATAATTTGAAAATTATTTCATTTTTTTCTTGTTCTCAGCATGATGATGCTGAGATGGGCTTCAATGATGCCGCGTTTATCATCATGCTTCAGCATAACACTCATACTTTTATTTTCATGCTTCAGCATTGTGATGTCGTGCGATGGTAGCGACTCAGCGGGATAGCCATGAGATAGGGAGTGATGATGAGAGCTAGTTAGTTATTTCATGAAGTTACTTTCTTCAGTTCAGAATAACCTCAAACATTAAATCTGAAACTTCAAATCTCGTATGAATTTCAAACTGCGGCACATTGGAAATCTGAATATAAAGGAATAAGCACGCTGTTTGATTGGTTAGGTTATTCTTGTGTGTGGTTTGTATTTTATAATAATTTATGTTAATTAACACATATGTGTTATTAATATTAATAATTATTAATAGTAATATAATTTAACACATTAATTGGCATATGAAGTTTTGCAATAAAAAGTGCACATTTATCAAAATCCCTAAATGAAGCCGATCAGTCATGGGTTTGAAAATCTCTCAAGTGATTTTAGGAGGTTGAAATCAGAGAATGTCCAATTAAAGCAATAAATATTTCAATCGACTTATAATTTAAATGTTTCACGCTTCTTAGTATTTTATCATGATTTTTAAAATTACTTTATTATGAAAACATAATTGAAATAAATTTCTGATTCTGAGCATTAACAGAGTTTTTAAGCACACGGTGAGATGAGAGTTCACAAGGTTGCATGGAATGAAAGCGGTCTATCGCTGACACACCCAAATCCACTGATTACATCAAGGCTAAGTCCGACTGAGTACTTTTCACGAGGAAAAACGAGATCCAAAGCAGCTATACTGTATAATTTATTCTCATAGTCGTCGGTGTATGTCACGCTTTTCCGTTTGGCTGCAGATAACTCGGGTCAACCGAGGCCGATCGAGGCTATATAAGGCGCTACTAGCGGGACCAAATCACCAGTTGAGTTACTCGACAGCCTCCGTCAACATGGTGAGTAACGGTGGGAGTTGCCAACAACTTGAACTAACTGAAAACTTTCAAGCTCAATTTTATGTATATTGAAACTAAATTCAACTCAATGAAATCTGTTTGTGAAAGGTTGCATTTCAAATCGAAGCATTTGCTTGTGAGTAATGCTTGAGCTGAAGATTTAATGCTTCCGTGATTACATGCGAGGAATCAAAGACAGAATATCACTATATAACTATCATGCTATGATATATAGCTACGTAAATTATGTATAATCTTTGATCCATCGTTCACGTGTTGCAGTTCCGCCTCGTCTTCGCCGTCTTGCTGCTCTGCGCCGTCGCCCTCGCGACTCCAGGCTATGGAGGATTTGGAGGAGGATTTGGCCGCGGTGGATTTGGTGGTTTCAGACATGGCGGTGGATTCGGAGGTTTCGGTGGTGGATTTGGCCATGGATTCGGAGGATTTGGACGTGGTTTCGGCCATGGTGGATTTGGTGGCTTCAGAGGAGGCTTCCACGGTATGTTAATGTGAAAATTTTTAAGTAAGTGTCTGTTATTTTATTAGCCCGATTAGATATTTGAGGAACAGCCGTGAAACATAAAAAGGAATACTAAAAAATGAAACAATCGTAATCATTTCCTGTCGTCTTTTTAAATCGCATTACAGATTTACATTTCTTCAACAGGATAAGATGGCCGGTTACGGAGAAGCCAACTTATACCTCGAGAAGATTGCCTCTACTAGATGACACAACTGAACAACCTTCTAATCTTCCAAGTCGTCTTCTGCGTTTATTTTTCTCTGGAAATATAAAAATAAAATATAAACAATTCATTCATGGTTTCATCTTGTCCTTTTCTCGGTAGCAGTGAATAGCGTCGTGAGATGAATAATTGTCACTGCAAACGAAAGATATTTTTCACCTTTTTAATTCTCTCTCTATTGAAGGTTCAGAAAGAAACTATCAACCAAGCATTTGTAAAAACAAGATAATGAAATCCTTAGAAACGAATTTCAAAATTTATAACTAAATAGAGACTTGACACTACTCTTATAAATTACGATCCCCTTTAGTGGAAGTGAGCAATGGATATAATGGATCAAACAGCTCGCAATAATTTTACGTGAACAATATTGTGGAAGTAACGATCATTTGTAACCAAACTGGCTTACTTTTAAAACTGACAGCTGCGAGACAGGTTGATGTGTAAACAGATTTTCTGAATATGAATGTAAATAACAAAATAATGTAAAGAACGCTGGAAAAAATTGAGATGGTAACAATTCATCAGGGGTTAAAAAACATGAGTTGAACATGGAATGAGTGAATGCATGATTGTAGTGGAATTTGTAGTAGCTGCTTCATTCAGCAACGGCCATTGAGGTTCCCTTTACGCGGTACCTGAAGATGAAATTTGTTCCTTTACACAAAAAAGTGGAGAATTTTTTTTAAATTCAGTGTTAATGGCTTTGTATGGAATTTGTTTGTTTATAAAGAAGGCATGCAGAGCGAATTTTTCTGTCCTTTTCCGGCGATGTATCGAATATTTACGGATCACAGCTGATCTGGCGACATAGATCATTAATCTTGAGGAGTGAGCAGGGTGATGCAAATTATTATCCATCAAGTATTATCCATCAAATTATTATCCGTGATGGATAACAACAAATTATCATCCATCAAGGTAGCCAGAACAAAGCGATTTAAAGACGATGAATTTGGTCGCTGTTTAGGAGTATCTCAACAACATGTAACATTCATAATAGAACTTGAATCAAAATTATTCGAACATACAACTCAATTTGGCAGATGGTTTTTAGATAGAGTGAAGAACTTTCAATAAACCTGAAACTTAATAAACAATTACATTTATGTAAATTCGTAAAGGTTACATTGTTACGTGACCAGTATCACTAGTCCTAACGTGAGCCTATATACTATCCTCTAAATCCAGCCACGGTTCGTTACACTTCTTGCAGATCAACACAGAAACCGGCAGGAGAATAAGGACGATCATTTATGAAACTTTCATTCATTCTACGACGATAAGGTTAACAGAGTGTTTCTTTGTTGCAGTCGGGTCAAGACTTCAGAGGTCTCTCTATTTGAGATAAAACTATTACAGACACTAAAGGTATACAATGGATCACGCATAAATTTAAACTATATCATAAAAACTAAAAGATGTCTTCACATCTTTAGCTATACATGTTCACATCACACTAATATATAACAGGTCACAATAAAGCACAATGAATTTGGTCCTATTTAAAAAATATCAAATGATTCCGTGCACAGTACACACCTGTCCCGTATGGTGGCGCAGATCGAGTGATCAATCGAGCTACTATTCCGCAATACAAAGTGGATCTGGCAACATCGCACAGACTTCCGAAGCCATTTTTTTATAAAGGGTTAATTACTCTCCTCTCTTCTTTCTATAAAATGTTCATTTCCCTTCTCTACAACATAATCTGTTCAATATTTATGAACAAGTGGATGGGCTAAAATATCAAACCGTTATCAATCACCCATATAAATAGAAACAAGTAACTCTTTAAGTGGTTGATGTGCAAAAATACTTAAAACCAGGATGACGCATAATTTTTGCACAGAATGCTAAATTCATGCAAGCTGTGTCTCTGCAGTTAAGAAGCATTTAATTTTCATGAATTAAATTATTTAAAAGGAGAATACGAGAACCAAAAAAAAGACAAATAGCAACCAAATTCTATTAAATTGAAAATCGCTGTCATAAGGTCTCTTCAAGGATTTGTACTTCTTGAGATCGATACAAAATAAAATGTATTAACTGACAAATCTCTGCCATTTGTTCACTTCAATGATGTATGATATATAAGTATCACAAATATCTTAAAACAAGCCTCTGCATTTCACCGCTCCATTGTTGGATCGCTAAACTTATGGATGAGACATTTTTACTTAGTCCGTGAAAAAAAAAAAAAAAAACTTCTGTATAACGTCTGCTTCTCCGGATTTAACTGTTTTTATTAGGGTGTTAATTATTAATTATATCAGAAAAGTGCATTTCTTTGAAGTAATTGTTTATAGTCATACGAATATATCCAAGGCTTACACAATACTCTATATAATCACGTATTGTGATTTAAAGTCTACTTATTCATTAAGTCTATAAATGTTCTACAAAAAACTTGATCCATCATTAAGTAGTTTGTTTTGTAGATGAGCATGAGTCGGTTTTAAGCGCACTGGACTAGTATCATCACTAATTTCATAAAAATATTGCCATTTACAAATGATAGCAAGATTCAAATATTTTTTGCAAGCAATAGCTGCTTTTCTCCAAGGACTTGAAAGCTGCAGTAATACTTTTTACGTTGAAATAAATTCTTCATGATACAATAAGGTTTGCCATGGATATTCCAAATATAATTGGTGTACCTCAAGGCATTAAACTGTGGAAGCTTTGAAGTGTTGGAAAAATTTATCGCATCTGATTTTATTAAATTTGCTTTGGAAAGCTTTCAATTAGTAAAAATATTTTGCACTAATAATCACATACAAGTTATCGATGTTCCTCAGAACATGAATGGCAGTATAAACTTGACCATTCGTGGTCAAATATATAAGCCAATTAGGATTCAAGTTATTTTTAACGAATGCGCGTGAATTAAGAATAAATCAAATGAGTCTTAAAATTTCATTTCCAAGCATAAAACTTATTTATGAAAAAAAATCTGTTCATAACTGGAAATAGCATTATCGGTAATTGGATTTTCACTGGGCCTATACTTTCAAAAAAAGTTAAGAGATCGTAAGTTCATCCGCCAATCATTGACGGCCTTTCAAGCAAAATCCACCAATAATAGACAAGTAAAATAAAGCGTAAGTACTTACGTTTACTTAGCGAGTTTTGAAAGTATGGGCCCTGGTCGATATCTTTATTATTTTAGAGATAAACAATGAATTCTACATTATATCTTAGCAATACCTCGCTGCTTGATTCTCAGATTTTTTTATTGGAATAAAATCGTAAATATAATCATTATGATAAAGGAACCTCTAGAAACAACAAAGAAATTCAGTTTTCAAGGTTTAATGAGTTGACAACCTTCGTGTCGCCAACACACCCTGATCTGCTAATCATCTCAAGGCTGCGTCCCGGCAGGCCATTTCACCAGGAACAAGTTCGGACCAAGGCAGTCATATATCACATTTATGTGACGTGCTTCCGTTGGAGTGAAAACCAGCTCAGTCACCGAGGCCGCTTGTGGCTTTATAAGGCGAAACGAGGGACAGCAAAGCACCAGTTGAGTTACTCGACAGCCTCTATCGACATGGTGAGTAACATGCAAGCAGAAATAGAACGCGTATAGCACTATTTTCAGTCCGAAATGAATTTAAAACAATTTAAATGATTTTCAAGGTGTGATGCGTCGACAGCCATTGTGGTGCTAACGCGCCCTAACATTTTTAAATTTGAATCAATTTAAATCTTTACTACCACTTTAAATTTGCTGTCAGAGACTGGAATTTAGGCTCAACGTACGTGCGAGCTTGATATTGAATGATGAGAATTAGTTCTTATCAAGTCAGTATTGGTGGTGGGTGACAAAAATTGTTCCATCAATAATAATCACAGTTATATCTGAACTATTATCATGAACATTTAGTAAATTTTAGGAAAATGTATAGTTTCCTGAACCATGATTGCCCCTGTTATCTTGAAAAAAAAATACAGTCAATGACATTCCTACAAAGTTTGTCTCTTTACGCCCCATAGTAGGAAATTCATTCAAGCGTAATTCCATGTGTTATAAATGAGGGAAAATACAGGAATAATGATAATATTAGCACTTATAGTGCATGTGAGACTTTCGTTCACGTGATTATTTACTGCAGTTCCGCCTCGTCTTCGCCGTCTTGCTGCTCTGCGCCGTCGCCCTCGCGGCTCCAGGCTATGGAGGATTTGGAGGAGGATTTGGCCGCGGTGGATTTGGTGGTTTCGGACATGGCGGTGGATTCGGAGGTTTCGGTGGTGGATTTGGACATGGCTTCGGCGGTGGATTTGGACGTGGTTTTGGCCATGGTGGATTTGGAGGCTTCAGAGGAGGCTTCTACGGTGAATGAACCTAAAGGGCTTATCTGTCAAATTAGTTTATTTTGAGAAAAGAAAATTAATCCGACAGTAATTTGAGTTATTTGCTCACATGACGTATTTCAAGCCACCAATTAACATGACTTAATTATTTTCCGAATGAAGCTATCCCTCACGATTTGTTCTTCTTTCCCTACAGGTTAGGATGGTTATAGAAGAAGCATTCAACTACTGACGACTTCCTCAACTCCAGCGCAAAAAGCAAAGATGATTTCGGCTACGAAAATTATTCATACGGATTCGTCATCAAAATGAAATAAAGATTTTTTAAACCTTTTTTACATAAACATTTTAACCTGTTAGCCTTTCGACTTTGTCTCTTTTAATATAACAAAATCTATAGATGATGCCGAATGATTTCTTATCACGAGAATTATTAAAGATTTCAATAAACGAACTTCATCTAAGCACCTCGCTGCCATCCTTGCTTGAAATCAGCCAGTAGAATTAATATCAGAAGAATCTTCCGTGTGCAAAAGTGAGAAAAAATTACTTGTTTATTGAAGTATGATAAAAAGCATTTTAAGAAATTAATTGAATTTCGGTGCCTGTTATGTAATCTTCCAAGAAAAATGCGCTAAGTCTCAGCGCAAATCTGCATTGGCAATGATGATCAGTTTTTTCAGGAAACTACAATCTGTAGATAATCTTTCTCCATATGCGCAAAGCGCAATCCCCATTCTTAAATACGTTGTATTTTTATAGTGAAAACTTTCATTTGAGGTTGCACATTTTTGAAGTGAGAGTATTGACATGATTAAAATTTCATTGAAAACTAAGAGAAATTGAAATTTAAGGTAATCTATAATGGTATATACTTTCTAACCGGAGTTTAGTAAATTTTAGCCGCACATGAGCAAACCTTTAGTTTCAGGAATGCTATAGTTAATGACGATTTACCAAACAATGCAAAATAGTGGTTTAACGCAATGTTATATGAACATTATACATTAAATATCAATAGAGTGTTTCGTCCCGTGATTCATGAGTGTGGAACAGGTAGTACATGTTGTCTTTTAATGATTTGATTTTTTATATTGGGAAATAACAACTGATTGCCGTTATTTGAAATACAAAAGTGCATGCATACAGCGTTGAAAATAAATAAGGAACGCGAAAACGCGCATGCAGCATAAGAAAGTTCAGGAACAGCTAGGTATTGCAATTTATGATATAAGGTGGTGAGGAATGGAACACGAGTATGAAGGAATAAAAAGGTATTCAAAAAATTTACCTCTACTTAGCGCTAGAAGCAAAAAAAATGTTCTGTAATGGAAGAAAAATATGTGTGTACATACCGCATGTACTTATGTACAACTTTAATTAGGAAAAACTCGCAGAAAGATCAGAAGGGCAGAGCAATCACTTGCAGAAGGAAGTCAGGTAATAATGAGTTGAAATAAATCATTTCTATTATAATCGTTTTACCTTTCAAACAGATTCACAAGCGCATGTAAGCCGATTTCGAACGCATGTCATTCTACCGAGTAAATTTATAGGTCTATAAATCCTTATTACATCAATTAAATTTTTATTGAAAAGTACGAATGCAGCTGCGATATACATAAACGTGTATTATGTAAATGGGTAAAAGAAGAATGATGGAGAAGGAGAGGTTGTTGAGAATAGAGGCCGGAAGGTTGTAAAGAAGCAAGCAATAATTATAATAACAATAATAATAAAAAAGACAAATATTTATGGCTTGAGAGATCCAAATGTCTAATGCAAACTTCAACGAATCCAGTGCAATAAACGGGGCACAGCAATAATCGACCAAATAACTTCCCTCGTGAACCTTACTTTTTCTCTATTTTCATCCTTTACCCTAAACATTAATTTTCTCATCCCTCTAGCCTCTGCCCCGATATTGCTGCTACCTGACCCTGCTTAACTCTCCTCCTGCCTACACTAAGGGTATGCACACATGCAGTGATTGCAGGTTGCCAGCGTGCTGGTTACCTGCTCCGGCTGGCGCATGAAACCATAGAATATAGAAGCCTATTCGGACAGGTTTTCACTGTGAACACTTACATTATTATCCTATGTTCATTCTTGTGACAGGTTGGAGCAGGTTGCCCGCGCGGGCAAACCTGCTCTCACTGTGTGCGTACTCCTAACGAATGTGAGACGCGTGGCAGTTAGCATATTTAAAGGCCTGACAACTGAATGTCTGTTTCTGTGTCACCATCACACAAACCTCAACATTAGGCATGAAGTGAAAAGGTTTCAAAATTAGGTGATGTTCTACTCACTTGTGAATGCAGAATTTGATATAATAGACTTTATAATCATGAGCACTTATAAGACAAAAGAGATGAAATTTTTATTTCTATGGTTTGATGTGTTGTTTATCTTTTATTTATTCCAGTTTCTTGCTCGCAAGTTTATATATAGGCTCTTTGAAACAACCCTAATCCAACGAAACGGCACATTGCGAGAGTAAACTTTTTCAAGCATACATCATCTTTTTTAGGCTGGCTGATAAATTAATAGAGAGTGACGAAATGTTCAAAATTATTGACTTGTTACTTGATAAAAAAGAAAAAAAAAATACTTAAAGGATGGCCCAAATCTATTAATTTAATTCCGACCAGGAATCAACTCATGACGCCATTCAAGGAATAAGTATGAACTTAAATTACTAAGCTTTTCAAATTATTTACACAATCATTAAAAAAGTCAAAACATGATTAGGTGATTAGGACAAAACATTTCAGTTATCATTTATTTATGTTTGATCAAATCAAGATGCATTTATATCTATTTTATTTAATATCGGAATCTAACCAAAAGGTGCATCATGTTTTCTCCTTAATCTCATCTAACCAGAACTTACCTTTAACAGATTTGCTGTAATTGTCTGACTGGCATTCAAGTGAACAGCCTGGAAGTAGTTACCGTGCGTACTTTATTCCTGCACTTCATATATTATGGTGCGAGTTGTGTTACTAGGCATTTGATCATACAAAATTTGTACAAATAAACTGATCTTATGCTCATACGCAAATAAAAATTATTTTATTTCGCCAGAAATTCATCTCACAATTAAGTTAGGTCAAGTCTTTTTTTGTATACAGAAACTAATTTGCATATATGCTACTATATATTCAAAAGCATACGTATATTATACTTCCCTTAATAACTGCCGGGGTGAGTTGACCTCATGGATAATGTATAGTTTGAGGCATGCAGGACAGGCGTTACTAACAGGCATTAGTATAGTTACTGACTGGTCGGTCTATACTCTATAGTTTCCAACAATAGAACACTACTCCTGGTAGGATTCTTGTCCATGAACAATTACGAAGTGGAATTTTACATTGGATATTTTTCAACGAACTCTGTTAAATGTCGCGATTTTCGTGTGAGTGAAACAATCGAGGGCAACCGAGGCCGCTCGCGGCTATATAAGGCGCATTGAGAGAGCCCAAGTCATCAGTTGAGTCCCTCGACAGCCTCTCACAACATCATGGTGAGTAGCACTAAAGTTTAATTGCGTTAACCAGTTTAGAATGAATAAGACACGAGACTCGTAAAATGTTAAATCTTCCCTGAAAAAAATTTAGGAGCAACCCTTGAGGAGGCAAAAAATTTGATACGATCATATTTTTTTAATCTAACTATTTTCTTAAATTTTATTATCCGACAGTAGACATAGGCATGAGACAAAAAATAATTGAAGTCATTAATAAAAGTCGGAGAGTTCAAGTCGAACTGAAAATGACATTCAAAGTCGCCTTCGGAAATAGTATTTTTTCAATGATCGGATTAAGCGTTGAGGAGACAATGATGAAACTATGACGCCTAAATCATGTCCTACTTATTTGTGGCGTCAATAATTTACATTGAACTCATAATTGCGCTTCTAGCTTGGAATTCAGCAGAGCATCAGGTCTAATGCAAACGCCTAGGAATATTAAGCATCTTTTCCAACTGATATAAGGAATCAGATTAATTAAGTCCGAATCCTAATGTAGATGATTTACCGAGTGCTCATCACTATGTACATCGTCGCAGTTCCGCCTCGTCTTCGCCGTCTTGCTGCTCTGCGCCGTCGCCCTCGCGGCTCCAGGCTTCGGCGGTTTCGGTGGCGGATTTGGACATGGCGGTGGATTTGGTGGCTTTAGACACGGCGGTGGATTTGGAAAATTCGGACATGGTTTTGGCCACCACGGTGGATTCGGTGGCTTCGGGTTTCCTTGTAAGAGAACAAGATAAGCTAAAACGTTACCGTTAAAACCAAGCAGACAAATAAATCAGACTTAATGCTCAACAATGATCTACAAAATTGACTACTGAAATTATTGCTCATTATTATTATTATTTTTATTTATTCAAGTGTTAATTTAATCCATCATTCCCCCCAATCAGGGTGATACGTTGGAAAGGAAGACTTTTCAGCCGCTCATGATTCCCCTCAGCTGGACGTACGCTCGCTCTAACCAACTTCTTCTCATTTTATTATTTTTGAGATGTCATTGATTTTCTGCGATCTAGTGTACGACGCAAATATAATTTAAACAAATCTGAAGTATACATTTATTCTTTTTATCCTCAAACAATTAGTCGGAGGAATTTGGTAGAAATATAGCTGAATTTGAGCGAGAATAAAGATTTCGAATGAATTACGCCCCAGAAAAAATATTTTCCCTCAAGTTAATGAAATTCTTTAGGAACTTTTGTGCATTTGTATATGTATGTGTCAGTCTCACGTGAAGCCCATCATGATGGATGTCATAACGTGGATATCGTGAGCAGATCTGATAGACAATACTTTTGCTTGTGTGAAATTGAATGATAGTTATTCAGCCACATATTGAAATAATTTCTAGGATAACCCAAAGTCTATTCACCAGTTACGAAAGAAAAACCAGCTTCCCGGATAACCCGCAGCAGGATCTACTTGACACGCGTTGTTAATTAACCCGCTATATTCGTCATGGGAGAAACGGAGCAATCACACAGATCTCATAAACTCATAAAATTTGTTCTTTTACAGTTACAGTTGAATTTAAGAACAATTGTTGAATTAAACAACACTTAAATGCCCCTACCCAATCGGATTGTAAATATGCGGATTTTTGGTAAAGTGCCAACTCCGAAAGCTTTATTTCTAGGGGTTTGTATAGCGTGTAATTTCATCGAGCGTTGAATTCTATGAAATGCTTGCATTCTCAATACGCAAATGATTCAAAGGAGGCTTGGAAATTTCCTCTCAATACGGGGCGGCTCCATGTAAAAGTTTCAACTAGGCAAATTTTGCTATTCACTCGTTGATCGTGGCAAGAAAATCGATAAAGAATAATGTATTCTCCAGTTAAAGTAATGATTTGCGGTGTAAGTTTACTCTGTTCCACTATTCTGTTTAAGACCAATCGTTGAGAAAAAACAGTGTTTCAAATGCTGCACATTAGCTATGCTTACACGTCTGAAAGTCAAACGGATTGAGCAAATGCCGCCATTATTGCATGGGTGCCTTCCTTTTAGGAGACCGGATTCTTCAAGACTGTTTTGAAACTGTGTGGTTTTGCTTTGGCTTACAAATGTAATTATGTTTTTCATCGATGCAAATAATTTGTAACATACCTGCAGTTCAACAGTGGAACTCTACTTTACCGAATGCGTAAACAAATGGTCGAGCATCATCATGGTTGTTAAACCGTATTTATTGCCTTACAGTTACATGTTGGTAAATACGAATATGATATGAATGATTCAAATTATAGTGATCACACGTCTGTCAGCATGGAGTTGAAATGCCAGCACATATACATTATGTCCTTTTGCTCTACCGCCCGTATCTTTACACGAGAGAAACATTCTTATAGCCGCTGCGTGATTCTGATTTCAAACATTCAACTTTCCAAACTTGTTTTTCGTCCAAATTTACACTTTTTCATCATACTATGAAAATAATTACACTTATTAAAATGTTCTCCTGTGGCACAATTTAAAAAATCTTCGCAATTTCCATTTATAAATCAAATTTTCTATAACAACTAATGAAGTAGTATCTGAGTTTTGATGGAATAACTGTGTCTTTTACGAATAGATTGAATTAAGATACAATATCAGTCAGTTCTCTTCCTCTAATTTATTAATTTTGGATTCATTTATGCGAGTATTAAGGTTTGAACCTTTCGTTCCAATGTATTATTGAGTTGAAATTCCAGTCCCTTCAAAATTGACGTGATTTTATCTGGCCCCTTCGTTTTGTAAATTTCGTGCCAGTTCGAGGTGTGAAAAAGATATATTTCATTCAAATTTGTTTTTACCTAATTTTTACGTGCAATTATATTGTATACATTATCGATTGGTATTATGAAAATTTAATTGGCACATTGTGCAATCAATTATATGATTTCTGAGGAAACTACCTGGAATTAATACAGATTTTAGTCACACAACAATTTTGCGTAAGATGTGATCGGATTTTTGTTAAAATTTGATACTATTACCAAATTTCAGAGATGGCTTGGTTCTTAATACAATTTATGCGTGATTGATAGGTTTGGAAAAATTTTAAGTTCCGATTTCCATGCACAGAAATTACATTGCATCCATTTTCAGGCTACAATCAATCTAGAATTATGCTACGTCGATGTTTTGCCCTATTCTTCCTTGAATTCGATTTTCCATAATTCATTTGCTTTATTTGCTGTTTTGTTGTTTTCAATTCTTCCTCCTAAAAAATAATCGCTGCAATTCTTTTTAATATAGTTGCGCGTCACTTTTCCAAGAGGAAACGTGATTTAAAATTTTTCTTATTTCGCAAGGAAACTTTTGAAGGACTTTCTTCTAAAAGTATCTTTGCATACCCGTGTTATATTTTGTACATAGATGTTTTTTGAGATCTTCAGTGTCAAGTATTCTGTAACTTGAGTCAAGTTACCAAGATTTCTCATAAACTATTCTTGCAAGTGAATGAACAATTTAAGTCAGCAATTATCTATTGAATTATTTTAATCACGTAAATTATGAAATATTGCATTTTTCGCTTCCATCATTATTTAGTAGATTTAAGACGGCTATTTCTTATCAATATTAATGATATTGTGAAATGTTTTTAAGAACTTGTTCATGTTCGGCGCGGATCCCGTTTTCTTGCATTTCTCTCACACAAGCGTAAAATTTTTGTTTCATTTTCAAATCGAGTTTTGAAATTTTCCATCATATACATTTGAAAAATTGTAACTATTGTTAATGATTTATGCAAGCAATTTTCTTTGGAGGTGATGCACTCTTACTTCCATTTCAACACAAACCCTATTTTGTGTGGACTTTAAGAGTAAAAATAACACATGTGTGTATAATTTAGTCATGATTCCTGTCCAACTTCTTAGCCTTATCTGCATGTTAATTAAAGTTTTGCTTGCGCTTCTGGCGAGTCCTGGACTTTCACCGCGTATATAATATGTTAATTAGTTAAATAGTTTAGGTTTGCAGAAAATAAGTGATGTTACAAGGAAGGCTGAGGAAAAATTTTCGGTTTCTATTGTTATAAAATATCAAGTATTGGGAATTGTGGCCGAATAATAGATGACAAACAAACAAACAAACAAAGCTTTATAAAAATATCTTCCCAATATCCTTGGTGACCAGAAACGGTGGGGCGCTCAAACGACTGATCGAAGATGCTCTCGCGAGCGACGTTTCTACGGCGTTCTCTTCTCATAACAACTGAATTGTGACAATTAACTTGTTCAAATGTTTTGTTTTGTCCATTATTATCGTGCAGAAAATAACTGATAAATATTGGCTGAGTTAAGATAGGGAAACTTGCCTAAAAGTATGGTCTACTTTTGAACTCATTGCCAATAAGTCAATTTTCCTACATGACAACTGGAATTTCATAACTTGCTCTCTTTTTCGCATATCCGAAAAATGCGACTTGGTTAGCATATCCGAAAATGCCCCCAACTAGCCCTTGGTTAGCAAGGGCTAGTTGTTAGCAACAGCATTCTCGGATGATATCATCAGGATGATTGCTTCCTGATGATATTTCCAACTGTACTAAATGATAGATCAGGCTCCTTGGATATTATTCGATACCCCGTCCGTTTCTTGTGACAATCTATGATCTTTTGACGTAAATCTGTCGCCAACTCTCAAGTTTTAGCCATTTAAAATTAGATTTTAAAGATGAAGCTGAATAATATCTTCACCTGGACACAAAATCTCGTAAACAATAGTGAACAGCTCTGATTGGGCAATTAGATAACATTATAAGGTTAGTAGAACGTCTGAAGTGAAAAGCGAATTTTGAGTACTTCAAAAAAGTTATTTTTGTTTATTTTTGAACATGTACCCAATACTTTTGCGTGGGTTAATTTTTCTATTTGTTGAATAAAATCTAAACAATGCATACTTTTCAATATCCTCTCTATATAATGTTTATAGCACCATTAGCAATATATTGACCAAATATTATAAAAAATCTCGCACTTGAACTTGAGATATGAAGAAAATTGCAATGTATCCAATACTTTTGCGAGCCACTGTAGGTTGCAGGATCCCTAGAGTCTTATCAATGTATCTTAGCCTCAGACATTTCTTATATGTAAAGGTTAGTCGTGTAGAAGCACTCCGTATTTTCAAAAGAAGAAACTATTCTCCGTTTCGCTACAGCTATCTCTATACGGTATAGGGTGCAATTGCCCTTGTTTATGACAACAGCTTTTCAAATCTCATAATCGATTTTTTTTTCACTTCCATCAATTCCATCAATCGCTCTGCTGTTGCTCGAGACAATAGCTTATTTAATTATGGTCTACGTGGAATCATTCAAAGTAAATAAAATTTGACCAGGCTTGCAGTTTAGTTTCGCGATTAATCATTGAATTGCAGACAGATATTAAAGATAGAAGTTAAAATGACGTAAATTTTGGCAATTGAAGAGATTGGACGAGTAAGAAGACAACCAATTAGTATCATACGGGAATACAAAATTGAGAAATCAAAATATTTTATCAAGAATAGCAGCCCATCATTCCCCGATTCCCTCGTGAAGTTCGTTGTCGGTAAGATACCCAGCGACGAAGAAACCTATAGCTCACGGCATCTTAGGTTAGATACTCTGCGAAGTTCAGCTTTCCTTGAGATTAAAATAATATTTATGACACCTAAAATTTACAATTGGAAGATCCTTAGTAACTAACAGTCCAGTAAGGACATCAGTTTTCAAGCAAAACAAGGGAAGTTCTCACTCTCCGTAAACGACGATGTTTGACAGATAAACGCAATCTGTTAAACTAATTTAATAGACGAGATAGAACGTAACTTGCGGAGAAAAATTATAACGGGAAGCGTCTGGGTCAAAAATTATCTCGGTTGTTTACAGACGAATCACTCTGAAAATTGGTACACTCATGTAAAATAGAAAAAATTGCCTTTTGTTCACGTGAATTTTCCGAAAAAAATGAAAGAAAACGTGAAATTATTAGAAAACGGCCAAAAAAGGGGGTACTGTTGAAATATATCTAGTACTAAGATTTTCAAGCTACAACATCGAGACACGAATCATTCGATGCGTAAGGTCTTTATCTACAAAACTTCCCTGCCTTCCTTTTTGAAATTCTAATTTATGTGGAAGTGGATGGCATTTTTCCTAAATTTTCGGAAATTTTTCGATTTTCCTCCGCCACCCCTCTTTTTTTGCCGAATAAAATTCAAACTTTAATGAAATTATAAAAACCGGGAAGAACGTTTTGTAGATCTTTTCATTGCAAATTGAATGACATATGTCTCATTGTTGTAGCTTTAAAACTCTAGGGGGAGATCAGTTTGCAGTGACTATAAGTTAACTTTTCAGTAGGGCCCGACAAAGTCGCGCGCGCCTCGAAAAAGACATTCAAGGGTATTGGAGCTCAATTTCTGTCAATGATGGCGCGAACGACGGCACGAGAACCATTCCATATGACTGCAGGCAGATAACTGAGGCACAGCGTGTTCAGACTAGCTATTTAAGTATGCTACCGGTAATTTCGGCCTATCTTAACTGTTAAATAATTCTGCCACCCCTAACCCTTTCGCGATCTGTCGTGAACGCATAAATCAACGTACAGAGATGGTTTTGGTACCGTTGGATAGGTCAGAATGTCAGCTTTAAGATGAGTATAAAAACCGAAAAAATGAAAATTTTCGATTTTGACCCAGACGCTCCCCTTAAGTACTAAGAAGGTTTACATCGAATTCATTCGATTGCCAACCTCTGATCTGAGGATAATGGAGTGCAACGTTAGCTTTAATATACTGTCGGTTTGGAGAAATGTCACTGTTTATTATATGGCTTGTTGATAATATCCATTCAAAACTTATGATATTTTAGATTTTAGCTTTTCATCAATGAAGAATAGGATAAGGCTTTGGAAAAATATTATCCACTCAAGTGTCTCCAAACTTCACTCTATTAAATGAATTTTTGTAGAAGTGATAAGACTCGAGTGATAAACTTGAGTCTTTTGTACTCTATGTAGAATTTATTTAAAATCGTAAATGTCAGGTGACTACGAGAAAAATGTACTATCGTTTCAATCCGGACAGTAAGCGATCACGCAGTGGAATTGGACAATGGAGGCATGTAACTTTGTTGTGTCACGATTTTACCTACAAACGACGCTATTCAGGTCAACCGAGGCCGCTCGTGGCTATATAAGGCGCACCGAGAGAGTACAAGTCACCAGTTGAGTCCCTCGACAGCCTCCGACAATATGATGGTGAGTTGAATAGAAGCTGATCTGAGAAATCAGGTCATTGCGGAAACAACATAAACTAATATAGAAAGGGATACATTTCTGAATTTATATGAATTTGAGTAAAATAACTATTTAATTTTTTTTGCGAACAATTGTTAGCATTGGTACAATTTCTCGTTACTACAAATCTGACTCTAGAACAGTAAAATAAGTACCGACCTAACATTTTGATTCAAAAATTCTTCAACAAAACAGAAGTGAATGTGACTTGACCACAGCTTTTACGGAACCTAACTGAAAAAGTAATATATATCAATATTTTTTACTTTATTCGTTGCCATAGGATTTTGTGGGACTCATATTACTGGTATCAAGATATTCCGGGCAAATTTTGTGGTGAAGATTACTGCCTTCCTGCTCTTGATGGTTAAATCTTTTATTTGCCAGCTAATTATACTTATTTCAACGCAGAAAATTAGTTTTCCAAAGAAAAGTGAATCCGTCCTACATAAACGCAAGATTTAGCTCCTCCATTGTCCCATGGCCTAGGCCAACAAAAGTTATTAATAACTGACGACCTCTACCCATAGAGTATTCAATTAATAATTAGTGTCTACATGATTGTGAAGTGACCATGACTAAAACATCGTCATCGTCGCAGTTCCGCCTCGTCTTCGCCGTCTTGCTGCTCTGCGCCGTCGCCCTCGCGGCTCCAGGCTTCGGTGGTTTTGGAGGATTTGGCCACGGTGGCTTCGGTGGTTTCGGACATGGTGGTGGATTCGGGAAATTCGGAGGTGGATTCGGACATGGCTTCGGAGGAGGATTTGGACATGGTTTCGGCCACGGTGGATTTGGTGGCTTCGGGTCTCACTGTAAGGGACAAATTATTGTAATTTTTGCTTTACTATGATCTTGAACTACTGTACGAGACACTCAAAAAAGAGTCAAAAAGAGAATTAATTTTCTGGATTTTTGCTTGCCTAATATAAACTTTTCCCACAACAGGGTGAGGGGCTGTGGAGATCAAACTCTTCAGCCTCATACGACCACTCCAACTGGACGACACGATCGAACGAATTTCTTCAATTATTTTATTTATGATATTTTCGTGACATTTTATTTTCTTACTCAGCAAAAATAAAGGAATAAATTTAAGAAAATTTTATTTTTCCAATTTGAATCGAAAACAATTAGCTCTAAGCAAAAAAATGAAAGCGGAAAAAATATTATATTTAAATAAACGATCTTACAAGTTATTTAAGAGGCCTATCTATTTTATTTAAAAGAGTTTGCTCCCAATCAACTCATGCAGACGGAAATGACTGAGTAGACAACTCTTATTGGACAGCAGAACATGAGTCAGATTAAGGAGATATTTACTTCCGCAACCTATTTAGTATTTAGCTATTTACTTATTCAATTGGTCGAATTAAACAACCTGATCATAGTGTCTAAGCCAACAATGATAATTGCTAACAAGTACATCTTAAATTCAGTTAAAGAGACATATTTTATCATTCTTGACACTTAGTTGGTTATTATTATTCGTTGAACAAAGTGTACAACTAAACACTAAAGCATGAAATGTGAAAAAACTGCGCGGCAAATGCACGAAAATTACGAAAAAATTTACTATCATATTTGTTTAATCAGCTTTCCACTACACCGTGGAATTAACTGAAATTAAAATTTAATCATAGAGAAAGCATTGTAATTAATCACATGTACGACGATAATATTTTCTAATGTATAGGCCAGTTACAAGAGGAAAAGGATAACTTATTAAGAGGGAAATATTACTATTTCCCTCTTAATATTAGAGGGAAATTCCTATCCTATTCCCTCTATTATTCTTAGAGGGAAATATTATTATTTCACTCTTAAACTTATTTCCCTTATCCCTATCCCTTATTAAGAAGGATAACTTATTAAGAGGGATAACTTATTATTACAAGAGGGAAAGGATAACTTATTATTACTTATCCATATAAGAAGTAAAAGGATAAATTCACTTCTTATATGTAAATCACTTCAATGATTCAGAAAATGAAGTTAAATGCTAGTATAAGAATATTGGTGTAGAAATTGAAGCAATTTAACACTATTGATAAATATCAGAAACTTATTCCAAACAAACAAAGAACTAATGTAAGATTTACCTAAACACATCCTTAATCCTCTACCACCTGACATGAGCAACCGGAGCAATATTGTCACGCGCCTACTTCCCAAAAAAGATACGTTCTAGTGCGCGCAAAATGACTTGCACTGATGGTTGCCGCCACGTACGACAACTTTAAAATGTTTTTTGTAGCGTACAAACGTCCTTAGGCTGCTATACTCAATAGTTTACGTATAATTTAAGTTTAAGTTTATGTTCCCGAAGTGTAACTTACGGCTGGTTAAGGGTTGAGTCAAATTTATTCAGTTTACGGCAATTTAATGAATTGAAGATTGCATTTAACCTGGATGTTAGTCAGGTAGGCTCACATAAGCAGATTGATATCGAGGCAGATGTTGAACGACTGGTCGAACATAACATTAATCTATTTGAGTTTGAAGCAAAAAAATGAATATCGAAATGCCAAACACTTTCTTCCACTCTTGTAAAAAATTCCTCAACATTATATAGTCTCTTGAATGGGCCCATTGAAAATCAAGGATTTTCGAGTTTCTTGACCTCTCGAATTAGCGAAGTCGTAAACATTATCCTTGCGATGAATATGGTTGCTGAACCGGTGCCGCTTCAGTTAAATGACTAAATGATTTTGGGAAAAGCAAATCATGTCATAAAATCACAACATAAAGCCAATAACATTCCCAGCCAAAGTTAGCATATCTGCTTAATAAACAGGAAATGGATCAGCAAAAAAATGTATATGATTAGACCTCCATAAACCCATAGCTGAAAAATGGGGCAACTGACGAATTTTTGAACAGGCAAGGTGATACGGGTGTGTTAAACGACGCCGGGGAAATTAAGAAGGACTCTTATATATAACACCATTTACTGGCACAATATCAAATCATACACTCAACGTTGAGCTAAAGTTCACGACTAAGAAAGTGAAATATTTGTGACTAATTCTGTGCCATAATTAAGCCTTGAAACTGAACAAAAATAAGTCTGATCATAAAATTTACCAGGCACGCTGTCTATTGAGTCGAATTACGCTGTTTCTACACGTAAATGCGAATGTCGAACTTGCAATTGGAAAATCACGTGTCAGTTCAAGATTAAAATTACACGAGTTCCTGACGAGTTTATTTATCGCGAATACAACTTTTAACTTTAATTTTGATTGAAAACTAAAAAATGTTACATGAAAAGTTTGACTTCCGAAACGAAATTTTGTTTTTAGAAACGGTTTACAAGGAATATCACTGTATCCTGATGTGTCAATCACCTTAGTGGAAAACATTTTCTTTTTGTGTAGGGACTCTCATCCCCTTATAAAATAATTGAGAAGGAAGATAGTGCTGCACGGTACAATACTTTTACTCGTCACTTCTGTGACGCGATTAATAAAATAAAGTTATTATGAAATAAGAATAGTAGCTAGATTATCATGTAAGTAGTTTTTTTAATACGTTCCAATTTTCCAAATAATGATCACAGTCAATTTGTAATAACACAGTTGGCGAATACAGTGACGTAATATAAATTTGAGAAAATCACACGTTTTTTTATTGCCTAACAGGCACGAATATTGGCAAATTCTGCCTACTGCCAAGTCACTTGAACGTGCCTCTGAATGACTGACCACGCAGAATTAAAAAAAAATTCAAACGAAATGATATTCGTAAATTTGCTGTCGTCCTTCAAAAATTCAGAATTTACAGAATCACGTCTAAAGTGTATAAATGTTGTTAGATTTTTTAATCACACAAAAATTTGGAATAATCTTTGCATTCTCATGGAGTTCTTAATTAACAGAGGGTTTAAAGAAACATACGACTGTTTTTCACCTGCTCGACAAAAATGCCGCAGGTCGTGACGTGAGATATTCAGCCTGAAGCGAGGTCAGCGATCGGGTGAATCGTGTGAATATTTGTAATACAAAATGTGTAAGTTTAATACCAGTGAGACAAGAGTACAATAAACTACGAGAGGAAAATGAACAGAGAAAATTCAACTGAATTCCAACACGGAATTTGTTTGCGCTGTACTAAGAGAGCTGAATAATTGTCATTAAATAATGGAAAAGTACAAGAAAGAAAAACTCTTTCGTGTTATTTCAACGACAAAAATGTTAGGTCATTCGACGAATAATTGTCAAAGTTATATATCACATAAATTTATCAAGAAAATCGGCCTCAAATGTAATTGAAATACTTTAATTAAGGTATGAATGGAGCTTACTTTAAATTCAATTCTCACAAAAAGCATTTTAGCGAAGTTTATGGTATATTTTGTTCACACCAGATAATTCTTAAGCATCGCGTGCCTTATATTTATAATCTTAGTCAAAAGTTGGCAGCTACAACATACATACCTGTTCGTAAAATAGTCAATTGTTTTTATTATTAATTGCAAATAATTAATTATTATAACTTATTTTTCTCAAATATTAATGAATATGCTCAAACGTAGTGAAAACCGCGACTAAAACCGCTCAAATTACATTGTGGGAACACTAGGCTTCTCAACACTTTGAATACTACGATAACAAAGACATAAATTCGAGAGTTTAGTGTACAACTTTTGACTGACATTCCAGTTGCATGCTCACAATTCAAATTTTTACTCTGTGTTAATTTCTTACATCTCAGCGCTCTTATTCATTTCTATATAAGTAAGTTCTATATACCGGTCTTTCCCTTCGTATCAACTCCTGTTGGAGTTGAATTTATGGTTTTACGAAGCTGTGTTGCTTTATGAATATCGAATAATAAGCAATAAAGTTTGCTATATTATAGATAGAGAAGAATTTGAATTCGAAACGTTTCGAAATTCAACTGTTTTGTTGATCAGATATGATTCACAGAAAATTATAATGAGAAAACTTTTAACATGTTAGTGGGATTTCCGGTATCTTTGATACAATTCAAGATTTTTTAAGCTTACCAGGGATTTGCCTGCTTAAAGGAACAGACATTGTCACAGACAATCCTCAGTCATTCGTCAGAACGGCATCTGCATAACCACTTGTAAACGTAAGTGTATAACTGAAATTATCAGTCGTGTAAATTATAGAAATTTATCCCAAATGAAAATTCGCAAAATTCATCCTTCTAAGATAAAAATTTTGATATTAGGTCATTATTATTTTAAGGGGTTCGAATCAGTTTTCCAATCATTTTAAACATTGACTTTACGAACCATTGGATTGGACTGATAGACTTTTTAAATAGAAGGAATACCAACGGCAATGACACCGTCAGTCACCGTCCTTAACATATAATAACACATTTCAACATTTTCTAGAATTTCTTTCTAAAATTATTTAGCGGAAATTTCATATAACGCTGAATTTAGAAGCGATTACCAGTCTCCTGCAACGTCGAGTTGATTACCTAGCTCAAAATTTTTACTAAACAATTGATTACCTTTTTCATTAATAGGCCACAGGTAACATTTAAACTTCTCAAGTTCGCAATAATTCCAATTTAGCATGTGAGAAATTCTTGATTTCTCACCGATAATAAATTTTCAGTTCCCTTCTCATTTTTCTAATATCTCTAACGATTAATTGTAAACGCGCTGTATGTTTAATTAATTAAACGCGATTAATTCCAAACTGCCATAAGAGTGGCAGTTGGGGTTTTCTAACGAAATTTTTAAACATAAACCTTATGGACCATCCTATACTTTCTTTCGGATGAGCCTTTAAAATTTCCTGTTCCTTCGTTCCTAAAATAAAAAATTCAAATTATTCTATTGTGTAAATTTCTTATAAGCAATTATTTTGAAACTATGGACACAGCTTACTGCCACGCTTGCTATAGGAGACAGTAATAATGAACGACAAGTAAAATATCTATTTTAATGCAAATAGAAATAAATCGATCCATGCACCGGAGCTGCAAGCCGCAGCCACGTAATCGTGTCGTGTATGTGTCACGATTCTACTTGCGGTGGCCGATATTAATTTCAGGTCAACCGAGGCCGCTCGTGGCTATATAAGGCGCACCGAGAGTCCAAGTCACCAGTTGAGTACCTCGACAGCCTCTGACAACATCATGGTGAGTAGCACTAAAATTTGTTACAGGTGGCATTTCATTATCTACACGTAAACTCGAATAAATAATGCAACATTCATACAACAAAAAATTATCCTTTAACAATTAAACCGAGAAAATTGCGAATCCTTGGCGTTATATTATCGGAATTCTTTAAATTATAAAAAATTTTACAGTTAAATTATTGATTTCATTATTCTTAAGGAGAGCACGTACGTCAAAATCGAAAATAAAGGCTTTTCCGTTTTTTATGCTCATTTTACAGGTCCAAGAACTGCGCATTTAAAAAGCCCAAAGCCATGTTTGTGCGTTCAATTGTTCGTTCACGACAGTTGTCGAAGCCGTGGATAAAACCTATACTTTCAATGATCACAAATTTCTTTTTTTGCTCTCCTGAAAACTTGGACTTTTCATCTTAAAAATCTATCTCTCCCTATGATTTTCAAGCTACAGCATTGAAAGATAAACCTCTCGATTTTTAAAGACCTGATCTTGCGATCAAGCTGTCACTTTTCCTGATTTCTTTTTTGCTTGAATATTGAAAAAATAGGGAGAGGGGCAAAATTGGAAAAAAATCAGAATAATAAAAAAAAGTTTGGAAAAAGTAATCGGATGATCACCAGATATAGTTTTTACGAATCGAATGATATGTCTCTCGATCTTGTAGCACGTTAATTGAATAAGGAGAATGAATTTGAAGGGGGGGGGAAGATTATTGAATGAAGGGGGGTACGGTCACACTACCCCCCTTTTTGCTGTTTTCAATGAATTTCACGTTCTCTTTCAATTTTTGTCGGAAAATTTAAACCAACAAGTCTTAGATTTCTGTTTGATATATGTGTACCAACTTTCGAATGATCCGTTCGTAAATAAAAAAGTTTTGTTTACGTATACCTGATCCTTATACCGCCGCAGTTCACTCACCGGGAACAAAACTTTCAAAATAAATTATGCATAAACTATTGAGTGTAGCAACCTGAGGACGTTTGTGCGCAACAGAGAACATTTTAAAGTTGTACGTGGCGGCAACCATCAGTGCAATTCATTTTGCGCTCACTAGAACGTATCCTTTTTGGGAAGCAGTCTTGTGACAACATTGCTCCGGTTGCTCATGTCAGGCGGTAGAGGGTTAAATTAAAACGTTAGTTAAAATGTACTCACTCGTCCAGTAGGTTAATCCAATCTGTATAATATGCATTATTCAAGTCAAGTAACCAAGATTTGATGTCCTAATTTAGTAATACGTATTAAATTCAACTTTTGCGTCATGAAAGCCGGTGTTTTTAGTCTCAATTAAGAGCTAAGGGCAAACCAAGCATATCAGACAGGAATAGTAGCATTGGATAACTTTTTGTTCCAAATGTGCCATTATCAGCGGGATACCTATTTGTCCTAATACTCAATACTATTCTACTTCAATTGAATATCATAATATTTAAACACTAATATTTGATTACCTACTTCTGGAAAGTAAACAGACGATGACACAATGTAGCCATAAGAATTCAGAGAAAATTTCTTCTAAAATAAAGTTCTGAATTTCTTACTTTCACCAAATTTCCGTATCATGAATGACCGAAGATTTAAGACCATGGCTTGAGAGCAAATATGAGGAAAAGTCAGAACTAAAAGCTTGAATTTCAATGAATGTTTTGAAGATGTATATTGTGATCATGACCACGTCGCCGTGACCGTTACAGTTCCGCCTCGTCTTCGCCGTCTTGCTGCTCTGCGCCGTCGCCCTCGCGGCCCCAGGCTTCGGTGGTTTTGGAGGCTTCGGAGGATTTGGCCACGGTGGATTCGGTGGCTTCGGACATGGCGGTGGTTTTGGTCATCACGGTGGATTTGTTGGTGGATTCGGGCGTGGTTTCGGAGGAGGATTTGGACATGGTTTTGGCCATGGTGGATTTTGGCGCTGTGAGCCGAATTTGCATATGAAATAGCTCATGAAAAATAAATTTGTTAATACAATTTGACTTTTCTGGGCTCGCCATCATCTATTACAAATTGCTGATGATAATCTTTAATTAACATATTTGCACTAATATTCCATTATTATACTTTTTACTTATTATGAATATTTATAACTATTCTTCTTCACATAACAGGATGAGAAGTTGGGGAGAAAAATTCTCCAATTTCACTTGGTCACCTCAACTGGACGACTCGATCGAACGAACACTTCCTCCTGCTATTATTTATGATTTTCTTTTGAACGAATCAAATAAAGAATTGAAATCTGCAAAATCTTGATTTGTCCCTTTTATCCAAAACTCATCAAATATACGTATATATGTCTAAATGTGTGTTCGAAGCGTAGCATGCTAGATAAATATATACAAACACAGCATTCAGTTTTTTGTGCTTGGACACTTTTGATGTGAATTTTTTAGACGAATTTTCATAGCAATCGAAGAAAACAAAAAAAAAAAAAAAAATCTGACCACGCTTGCCGGTGCGTATTGTGACTAAATAGCTCCATTTAAATTTGGTCAATGTCGGGTTGATTTGGCAAACTTATGCGTTGAAAATCTGCAATAAAAAGTTGTCAAAAAAGTGTCGCAGCAGTCTATCCAGGCACGTATCCACGATTCTACTAGTGTCTGTATATTAACCGAACCTGAAAATTTATTCGAATAGGAAGAACGGTAACATTGCAAAACTGGACTGAAATGAACTGAATTTACATCAAACGTTATACGTGATTGAGAAGAAATTATTATGCATGAAAGCGGGCATTTCCATTTCAAATGTAACCAGATCATTTGGTTGGTTTGGTAAATTTAGTTTATAATTGAGAAAAATGTCTTTTTGCCATAAAGTTACAATTCATTATAGAGAACTATTTGCCAAGTCTTCGCAACGGAATAATCTGTGCGGTAGAAACCTGCACCCAACAAGCCACAACAAAATATTAACATATGCCGCAGCAAGTTCTGTCATTCTTCGTGTGTTACGGGAATTTAAGTTATATGGTTGATGATCATTAAAAAGAATTTGTTTGTCGAACATTTAGATGGGATGCTTTCAAATGAGCACAAAATACAAAAATTGTAAGAATAATATGAGTTCAATTTGAAACAAAAACCAACACCAGGAACCACGGCTATAAACTAAAAGAACTACATTGTAACACATCCATGCGACAACATTTCTTCTCGCTTCGAGTCACCGACATGTGGAACAGCCTCTCTGTTAGCATCGTTGACGCTCCGAGTATGAACATCTTCAAAAACAGACTAGACGAAGCGATGCAAGTTCGGTCATGAAATGCCTAGCACCTTACGAGTCTTGCAATAAGTCCAGCAGCTATCTCAATCAATTCGTCAGTTATGGAAAGATCGGGTTCATAAGGACGGATCCCTTGTGGAATCAAGTCACGAAAAATACAAGAATCGGCAACAGGCCATGGGCCTATTTTTTCAGTGCCGACATTTCTATTCTATTCTAATACCGTTTGAATTCTGTTGGACAAATGGCGTCCATTCTAAAAATGAACGCATAACGTAAATTTGACGATTATTTATATATGATCATTTATCTGAAAACCCATCAAAATTAAATTATGTGTTTGATCAATAGATCGCGAGAGTGATTTAGTATTGTTCGTTTTGAAAACGTTACAAGTAACGTTTAAAATAAGAAACCTAATCGGGCAATGTCTATAGTTAAGAAATTTGAAAAAAAAACTGACAATCGTGGATGTTGTTGCTTTAACTTTTATCGATAAAACGCCGATAGTAATTCCTTGAATACATGCAATTTAGTAATATTTATTCACAAATACCACGAAATTGTTCAGATAATTCAACACCAGAATAGGGTGATCGAGCCAAGTGTCACTAAAAATCTTGCATGCGTGCATGGTAATCATGAACTGATACACCTTCTGCATGTCTCTTGTAAAATGGCTTCTGCATGTCTTGGGCTTATGACTGACGAGTCATAAGCCCATGGTTGAACTATATAAGGCCTTCTTCTTTTAGAGTTTGAGGAAGCTATACAACTTCAACCATGTCATAAGCATCCTCCGTTACGGAACTACCTTCGGCGGATACGCTTTGCGTGCTTCCACCCCGTGAGGTATCATATACTCAAAGATTCTAGGATAGAGATTTTTTATCAATTTGCCAGTGATCAATAGGCCAATATTTCAAATAAGACCTTCTACATAAGGCATCCTACCCAACTCTGAAGTTATAATAGCAAGAATTCAAACGTGCATTTCAGCACAGGGGGAATTACATACAATGATGAACGGATTTGTACCCTGGTGTGCGTGTATTCAACTGCGAACTTCTGCAAAATGATCGGCCCTTGACCCTCGACTTCAAGAATTCTTCTCAAAATAATGTTGAATCCTAGGTGATCCTCTGAAGTGAACAATAGCAGAGTTAACTTACTCGCACTGATACAGCTGAAACGAGATTTAATGTCCTGAATTTGGTGGGCAATTACGTTTGTCGTTCCATAACGAACTTTTTTTCCAGTTGCGCTTTTAATAACCACTGTCACCGGCACCTCTCTTGGCGACGTACCGAAGTATGTTATAATCAACTGCAACAGATATTTTTGAGAGTAGGTTTAGTGACACTCAACTATAATCCTGTTCCCCGCTTCGAGTAAAGAGTCGAGATTGCAACTTTAGCAAAGAGGTTGCAAACATACGAATATCTTGTTGGAAAAGCTCCTTCGATTCAGAAGCGGGCATCTGTAAATTTTTCTTTGAAACGCCGCAAAAGAATTGCTTGTCAGCGTACCCAAACTCATGTTTTGCGGTTGACACTCGTGACTTATATAACCTATTCATTCCTGGCACGTTTGCCAATGGCGCTTGATACGTTGAAGAGCGTAATAAAGGAATTTGAACAAAGCAATCATTTATTCTAGTCAGTTAACAGAGTAATGCAAACAGCACCTCTAACACAAAAAAAAATCAACTTGCAAATTCAATGCTCACTGTACTAACAAAATATATACGCAGTTTTATCCTGTATCGTTTAGCTATCCTTACAACATGGATTACGATCTTAGCGTAGAAATAAAGAAAATTACTGCAAATAAATAGGATGACAATGAAATTCCAAACTTCAAGTAGAGGAAAACATTCAGCTAAAATAATAACCTCGCAGATTTATTCGGTTCACGATGCAAAAAAGCAGTACCGTAGGAATCGGAACTTTCCTATCTCGTTAAATCAAAATGAAATCGACAGTTCACTTATTCGCCCCAGATTTCTTCATTCTCTTGACCGATTTTGACACCAGACATTTGGTTGGACAGAGCCGCCATGCAACCTGGAGCAGCTGGGCTTTTATTACCGCGATTTTGCACCCGACGATGCGAGTCTTGAAATTTTGGTCGATTTGATCGAAATTGGCCTTGCGCTTTCAGATCCGAATAGTTGTCATGCATAACCGGAAATGATGAGGTAGGCGCTGAGGAGTCTTCGATCCAGTCAGAAGATGTCATGGTTTTCTCCGAAGTTATTTCAGCGCATGAGGAAGTCTGATGCTTATTAATCGACATTGCATCGCTGTTGGGCGTCTCTTGATGGTTGTCAAACCAGGCATTAGATTGAGAAGAGTAGTCATTTCTCTTCTTTATGGGGCAATGCAAAGTGGCACTTTTGTATTCATCATACGAAGATCCACTTTGATACGAAGTTCCTCGGGTCTCATTTCTGTAGGACGAGCCGCTGAAGGCACCGCGGGAGGATGAGTTCTCCCTCCCCCGATTTCTGTCTCCAGCAAAACCACCACCACGTCGGTCTCGACCGCCACCTTCGTTATCCCGACGAGCCTTCGCGCGGTCGGCCCGATCGGCCATTCTAACGAGCTCAGAAGGCACGGGCTGGAGAGAAAAAATAAGTTTAATAATACACTTTGATTGAGATCGAGCCTAAGATATCTAACGTGTTTAATAGCAAATTTAAGCGAAATGCACTTTAAATCAGCTGAATACACAACTTCGCACGACTTAGCTAAAAATCAAACCAATTTACTACTGTCAACCTAGTCATAATAGTATACCAGACACATCAAGACAACGCGAACGCATGTCATGGGCGTGATAAACTAACAGCGTTGGAGCGATTCAGAATATCCATGAAGGGTCGGATCAGCTGACGGTCGCTCCAGGTGACGAAGGTGAGCGCGTAGCCCGAGCGGCCGGCCCGCCCCGTGCGCCCAGCTCGATGCACGTACTCCTCGAGGTTCCTCGGCAGGTCGTAATTGATCACGTAGCTGATGAATGAAATTCCATTAGCTCGCCGAAAATAACCTTAATATAAGGAGGGTTCAACCTTAATAAATGGTACGCACGGCGAAAGAGAAAACTCAAGTTGATTCTTTCACTTAGCTAAACTAGTAAAAAAAATTGTAAATACAATAAACAATCAATATTATAGTGTCTTAGAGTATAGACAAAATATAATGTTTATCACCAGTATTAGACCCCACGGAGGCATTTCAAAAAGAAATTTTGAAATCTAATTTTGCATTAAAAAAAGAAATTACTTATTTGTTGCAATGAAATTTCAACAAATAAGTATAACAGCAGGCATGAAAAATTGAATAGAAGTCTTCACAGCAAGAGAGGAAGAGAATTTTTGCAGGTAACACAATTTACGTGACATCGATGACATCGAGGCCACGGGCGGCGACGTCAGTGCAGATAAGCAGCCTGGATTCACTCCTCCTGAACATGTCGAGGGATTGTTCCCTGGCCTCCTGGTGCATGGTGCCGTACAGCGTCGTAGGCTCCCCTGAGATATGTTCAAACGAGCAGGGTGAGATTAAGAGGAGCAATATATGAAAAGGTCTACATATCATAGTAGACCTTAAAATTAAAAACTACACTTTTCTTTTATTTATAGCTGATATTTTAGATCTCAGCAAAGAGCCCAGGCTGGATTGATTTCAGGTATAAGAACCAAAATTCCAAGAATCCGACCCTGATAAACGCGCATTAGTGGACGTCGCACTGAGTCTTCAGCAACAACTCGTGATTTGTTTGAGTTGCTACTAGGATTTGAGGTTATTTACGAGAATTTTTTCATTATGCAGGAATATTGAACACACATCAGTTATATATAGAATATATATGATCTAAAGATTGAGCCAAGAAAAAGAAGCCAGAAATATATGATCTCCGTCCATTAATTTACCAAACCTAATGAAATGTTTGTACCGCGTGCGAAAGATCAATTCATGTCATATTTGGTATTCAGCTGAAACATAAAGAATGGAAGCAATACCGAACACACAGGCATTTGAATGATTTCGAACTTCAGCTTCCACAATTAACTTAAAACATAGCCACATGTAATCAATACCTATATACTTATAACAAATAAATGAATGAGAATCTTCCAATGTTATGAAAAATCAATTAGAACTAAAGAAGGTTCAGATGCGTACAAAGCAACGGGCGCTTCTTGGACGCGAAATGTTCGAAGATGGTCGAGAAGAGAGGCTCGCACGACAAGCGTCTGTTGACGAACACCAGACCTTTGTCATCAGGCGTCCGCGTATCTAAGAACTCCAGCAGCTGGAAACAGATGAATGGCGTTAATCAGCCGCAGAAAGCAATTATGAGAGATGATGCCAAAACCAACTACCTAACGGAGTGGAACCGTCTGCCTGTGATACGATAACTTGAAGGGTTATTAACACCAACGATAGCGATGATATCCTTCAGAACAACAAGGTTAATTTTGCGCAAGCTCAATGTCAGAGCTGCTTAGACTTCCCTGCATTGATTTATAAATGCTGCCACTTCTGTCCTCGATTAAAGCATCTTCAGAAGCCATACTAGTTATTTTACTATAAAAAGACATTCATTGACCGGACGGTGTACACGTAAGGAACAGACAATTTATACAAAATCGTTAATGGATAGAAAAAATCTCTGAAACTGCTCATCTGATCGATATAAGTATGATGGCAGAATTAAGTCCAACTTATCCGCTTTCACATCAGCAAGGGCCGTCAGTGAAAAATCGACACCAGTAGTGACAGTAATGCAGAACTTAATGAGTAAGATCACATTATCATTCCCATTGCATTGGCGCTAAAAGAATTCTATTCTGACCTTAGCATTTTTCTCATCCTCCTCACACACGATGACGTCCTGAGTGACGGTGTAGGTGGCCTTCAGCTCGCGCTCGCCCACGCGCACCATAATCTCATCCGTGAGGTAGAACTTGGCGATGTGGTGGATGTCAGAGTTCCAGGTAGCGCTGAACCAACAATATATTGTTAGTCCATACAACATGGTCAGGTCAAAACTCTCCATTGACACTTAAATCTTAAGAACAGGCTAGTAACCAGGATTCTCAAGCTTATATTGCATGAATTGTAGATGAACACTTAAGTTTTATTATATGATGGTTGAGAATACATTCTATTTTTACAATAATATTCGATTGCTAAAAATTTATATTGAAGATTCGTGTCCTTAATTGCAATATGATATATTCAAGAGTCACCATCGAACCCATGGTAAATTTCGTTATACCTATCATTGAAACAAAAACCAAATCGTCAACCCAAGAACTTCATGAGTCACCATTGAACCCATGCTAAATTTCATTATATCTATAAGTAATTAAATTGAAATGCTAGAATTACCTGGTCATTACGAACTGGCGATCCTTCCTGACGGAGTTGAGTATGAGGGAGAGGTGGCACAGGAAGCCCATATCGAGCATGCGGTCGGCCTCGTCGAACACGACGTAGGACACGCGCCGCAGGTCCACCTCCTGCGAGCGCAGCAGATCGGCCAGCCGCCCTGGCGTGGCCACCACGACCATCGCGCCATCAGCGAGCTTCCTCAGTTGCGTCCCGCGGTCTCCTTGTCCGTACACGCACACACTGAGATATATTTCGTTCTCGAGTTATTTATATTATTAACCGTACTTTATAATTATATGTAACATATAACTATAATACTACATTTATTAACTGCTTATTACTGCATACATATCTCACATGACTGGTATATGATCTCAACAATATGATGGACATGATATAATCGAAATGAACATAGTGTTACTCATCAGTGATTTGAATAATATACCTACATATAATGATCGAAGAAGTGACCTCACATCATGAATAATTCGAAAGGCGTAACAAATGAGTGGTTTAAGATGCTACCAAAATATCTAAATCGGCTCACTAGATGTTGATGTTAAAAGGTACATAACTACATATAAGTGATTTATACTCCTATGCTGACAAGATGAATTTGACGTCCAAAAAATTTATGATGAAAGTATTATGAAATAGTACAGTACCGGTACTCAAGTTTGATATTCTACAACGGAGACGCTTATTCAATTCATACATAGCAAAATTACTTAAGCTACTTTGAGCTGCGTTTAGCCCGTAGACCATATCACAGAAACCATCAAAAGAGCTCGCCTTTTGATCTTGCTGTACTGTAGTTTGTTGACCTCATCGTCAATCTGAAGCGCCAGTTCTCGGGTGGGTGCGATCACGATCATGCGGGGACCTGTGAATACCTTGGTCTCAGGGTCTTGGTTTTGAATGTTCACCAATCCAGGTAGCAGGAATGCCAGAGTTTTACCTGAAAATTAATTGCAGAGGAGTCAGAATATATAGTCAATCTTGCTGTTAGAAAATAAATTACGGATATGCTCATGCATGAAGAATATTCACCTAGGCTGCTAGTGAATATATTAAAAAATTTGCTTCAGTAGGTAATTGAAAGCGAAGTTTATATCCTACTTCGTAATGATTCCACACACAATGATAAGTTGCAGCATTCACGATGACGATTAAGTTGCCATTTCCTGAGTATCACTATGTTCTCATCTATACTAGTCATTCACCGGTTCCAGTCTGAGCAATGCCAATAGCATCGCGGCCCCGGAGCAGCACGGGCCAGAGCTGCATTTGGATGGGCGAAGGCTTCTCATAGCGACCCTCGAGCAGCTCCAAGATGTCAGGGAAGTGCTGCCAGGCCTGGCGGAACGTCGTCACAGGGTTGGGTGCATCCAAGCACTCTTCAGCTTCACGGAACGACACGCTGATCTGCCGGTTCTCAAACCTAACAAAAATGCCAGATTAGTAACTTAGAAACAGCAACCCTGACTTATGAAGTGGGACACATTTTTAGTGCATTCAAATATGATGACGATTTTAAGCCATTTAAAGTCTGGTTTTAGGATGCGAAACTGACACTTCAATATTGTCTGATATAATGTAGTCTTGTAAAATTTCCATTCAACTATACATATATGCAGAGAAAAAAAATGACAAAAATGATACCTAAATGGCAGAAGTGTTTCAAATATTTTCACGTCTCACAATGAAATACATACCTATATAATGTGAATGAGATTAATTATTGTGAGACAGCATTATTTACATCATTTAATAAACCAAGATAAAGCATGAAAATTAGATCACTACTCCAGCAATAAATTGTTTGAAAATACCTGATCTTGGCAACTTCTTCTTTAGAGAGCCTGGCAACTTCAGGATCTTCAATGTAGAAGTCTCTTTTTACTGGAGGCAGACCTTCATACAACTTGCGACTATGTTCTTCATCTTCCCTTTTCTGAGAAAATGAAAAATTATGTTTAAAAATCTGGAAATAGTAGAGGTATTTTCAATGCTATGTGATTATTTATTAAGCCATTTTTGAGGGTTGAAATCATTTTACTGTTCACAACTTTGGGATTTCATTTGATTTTGAGTTTATATACAGTAATTACCAATTATATAAATACTGGCAAATAAATTATTTAATTAAATATAATAATTACCAATCAAGTACCTACCAGGCAACTTTGTGAATTGGTATAAAGCATGGTTGCAAACGTGTACAATTTGTTGTATATATATAATGCATACTTACAGTAGTTGGATAAGCTTATTAGTACCTAATCATTGCTAGGAATTGGAACTTGAATATTAATTATTTTTATTCTTGTTTGAAAGTCTCACAACTCGAGTTCCAAAACTAGGTACTATATGCATACTACATATATCTGACTGAGAACTAAAGTCAAAAAACAAGAATAACCTAATATTAAAAATTCAGAAAATGCTTCAATTCAGTTAGGTAGTTACATTAACACTCAAGATGTCTCAACCAAATATCAACAATTTTCTATTTTGTGATAATTTCGAAGGGTTGCAATGAAGTCATTCATCAAAACAAAGAAACCTACCTATGTGATCTGTTTGGCTCAATTGGTAATATTTGTGACCTAAATATAAATAAAAGAAATTGAAATTTACTACCGAGATTCTCCAGTCATAAAGTAAGCATTATTTGAAAAAAATGCCTACCAAAAATGTTAAGTAGTGGTAGTTATCCCTAAAATGTTTTCTGTGAAAGTATTATTCATCACAATGATATACGGTCCCATCAGTAAATTTTACAAAAATATTCAATGAATAAAGCATTACAGGCTAATGGCATGCATGAGGTATTCATTATGTCTTTCTGAAAGGCTAATGACTGTTTACAGACTTACAAGTTCCTATGTATAGTGTAGGTAATAGGTATATTATATAGAATTGTATTTTTTATTATAGGTACTATGTAACTTTTACTAAAGTTTACAAATATTTTATAAAAAAATATAAATTTACAAACAGATGGGCAAGAGGTATCAAACAATTTTCACTTCTCTTAATATAAAATCCTGGTTAATGCAGTTTTAACAAAATGGCCATAAAAATTGAACATTTATATAAAATAAAAAGTTCCAAAATTTACAATTTTGAATCTAATAGATTTTAGATCAGACTTCATCAGTGTATTAAATTGAGGCTAAGAGTCAATCAGTCAAATGCAAAGTAAGACTACATTGGCCACAATATTATTTGCAATAAAATAAAATGACTACAGTAAAATGGGGTAACTTAGACCGGCGGGGTAACTTAGACCACTTTTCGTTTTTTTTACAAAAACCCCCACAACTCAAAAACTATTTGACATAGAAAAATTTTGTCATGGGGAATTAAAGGCCTAATACTGAGGCTACATAACACAATAGAAAGATTTAAAAAGTTTGCATATCTAATAGGTTATGTATTTTGCATGTTTCAATTCAAGTTTAATTTAGCTAGTAAGAAAATGGCATCATTTATAAGAAAAAAAGTGGTCTAAGTTACCCCATTTTACGGTACATATACAATAAGTACATATACATAAAGAAGCAATACAACTAAGTTTATGTTCATCTACAAATTTTGGAAATACAAGTCTTTAAATACTGATTGCATACCTTAGCTTCCCAGTCTATTGCAATGGCAGGAGTTTCTTCAGCTGCAGCAGTACAAGGTATGTGCTTAAGCTTGTTGCATGTTTCATCTGAAACTCTCAAAAACTCTCCGTTCATCATAAACTGATCAAAACCTCCTCTCCGACGAGAGTTGAAACGTCCACGTGACATTCTCACCAGGAAAGTTATTTGGAAATTGATAGCTAGAAAAATTTATTGATGATCTTATTGAAACGACACCTGAAATAAAATAAGTGATTGATGCAATGTAGTAAATTCAGCAAACAACTAAATTATATCACACAAGCTGAAGAATGTCAACATTGTAAATATTTACACAGTTCACAGAGATATTTTCCCAACTGCAGGTATTAGGATATTACTAAAAACGACACTTAGTACAAAAGAAATTTCACAGAATTCAGCTTAGAAAGTGAACATTGGTATTTTTGTAGGAACACCTGACACTGCTAATTTTCAGTCAGTCAATAAACCAAGTTTCCTATAAAACTGGCATATATAGGTACCTGCACGTACCTCAAGACTATGGCATGAACTATTCTGAACATGAAGCATTTATCAAATATTATGCAGGTAATTTTTTTTTTTCGAAGCACAAACTTTGTCGTCTTCCTGAAAATTTTATAAATTTAATTATCATTTGACTTAAGGAAATTTTAACAGAATGATCATAAAATTGTTAATACATATTGAATTCTAAAAATTCTGTTGGTGCATAGATAAATTTATCATGGCAGGATGTTGGGAAGAGCAAGCAGGGATGTAAGATGCATTCTATGATAACCATTTTTGATGGAGGCAGAATTACAAATTCTTCAAATTACAGTTTGTTCTTTACAATATGGGTATTTCACTGTTAAATTTATATATATTTCAATTGTGGCATTTTGAATTACCTTACAGCATAAAAAAAGCCTTGGTGGATTCCATCAACATCTTTACTTTGTATGAAGTGTGTTCAACCTTTGTGAAGTGGATCGAGTTCTGTTTACTTTACAGCCTTTCCCTTGCCTTGCAAAGTCTGACCTAAAATAGTGAATGAAGGATGCACATTCACTGCTCTGGCATCCAGTTGGAATGTCAGAACTAGAGGCCCAAGAGGGACCAGCCAAAATGATTGATTACTGCTTTACATTTGATTTTATAATTTCAGGTGCTGTGGATGGATAACATATCAGGTGAAACGCTAGTGAGATATAAATAGACTTTCAGTCAATAAAAGAAACTTGTCAAGGAAAAGTGAGAAAAATTCCAGAGCCTTGAATGTGTCTTCAACTAAATTTCTCATCACATGCTCCAGCAAACAATTTTTGAGCAGTCACCAGCCTTCATCACCTTGGTGATATAACCATCACAGATCACACATCGACTCTTCAAGGCGGCATCATGCATTTTGATGAGAACAACAAAAAACTTATGTTGTCAGTCTACTATTGAAACACAACTTTCTAGCAAAATAAAAGCTGCATGTACCTAGTTACTATGTAGCAAGGCAATCAATACTGACAATAATGCATGGAAAATATCAAATTTATGAGCTACAGCTAGAAATTTCCTGAAGACCAGCCAGTCACCACCATTGTTAGAGCTGCACTATTCCCACTAGATAAATTTTACACTATCTATCTAAATGTTACCACAGGCACATTATTTATTTGGGGGTGAGATTTCAAATTTATTGAAACTGTCACTTTGGAGTAGTAAGGTTTCACTAATAAGTAGGAAAATAGACTCCACTAATAAGTAGACCAATTTTTATCTTGTGTACAATCAAAGCCCTAGACATTATCCAATCAGGAGCATCAAGCAGAATTTCCCCAAAATTCTAGCAAAATATATTATTTCAAAAAAATTACCAAAAACTGCAGGATAAAATGAACCATTTTTTTCAATTTGTGAAATAAGGCAAGATCCATAAAAACAGGTGAAATTGACTTATCACAGACATTTTCATCACATTTGTGGGTTGCTTAGGCAGTAAGCCCAATTTTCCAGAATACCGTAGCATATTATATGGTTTTTAATCACAAGCTACATTTCAAATGCAGTACCTATCTGCTGCAAGGGAAAATCTGGCAAATTATGCCATTGACAATTTGACAGCAGGAGGAATCTTGCATCTCATAAACAGATGGGATTTACAGTGAGAAAGCGCTAGCTGAAACTCAGAATGATACTCTTGTTTTCCACACATGTTTTATGATAAAGCTCTGGCTACTAGGTTATGTGAATGTGGATGCTGCGTTCAACTCCAACTACCAGCAAATTCACCACTCGCCAATCATGTCAAGATACCGCTGCACGCAGCCTTGAGCCTCATTTAGCAAATACCCATTTGCAAATAGCGTTATGTCATCTGCATAACCAACCAGCTTCACACGAGGATAGAGTGGAAGCTCATTTAATAGCACATTAAAAAGCATTTATTTCAGTACAGCACCATGCAGAACTCCAACTCTCACAGGATTTGACCCTGATTTACTTATTCAAACCTGAACATGAATAGTTCTGTTTTTGAAATAGCTATACAATCAGGTCAGCATATGGTCATGTACTCCAATACTATACGGTGTTAAAAGCAGTCAGACTCCGACATGCCAGACACCGTCAAATGCTCACGCAATGTCAAGACAAACAATCAGGCAATACTTATGCTGCACTAATGGCATTCTTTACTAGTTGCAGTGCATCAATTGTACATTTTCTTTTTCGAAAACCAAGTTGAAGTGAAGAGAAAACATTTTGTCTCTCCAAAGGAATATTCCAGCCTTCCAGGTGCTTTTGGTTTTAGGACAATATGCTCCATGAGTTTTCCTATGCAAGGAAAAAGAGTAATGGGTTGATACCCATTACCCAGTCACTTGTTAGCGCATTTTCTCATTTATGGAAAAATGCACTATTGTGCTCGCCATGTCTATCCGTCTGTCTGTCCATCCGTGACCTCAAGTTTTCGTCGATGAGAAAATGCGCTCTCTGTCACTCACTGCTGTGAGTACTGAGTTTTTTTTTTTGTTCTCTTCTTGGCCTGGAGGCTGGGGATAGGCACAACAATTCCATGCTTCCATTCCATGAATCTGGAACAAAACCAGAAATCCAACTTGTGTTCATAAGAGACAACAGCTCCCTACCACTTGAACAAAGGTGATGCCTTCAAGAAGAAAATGTTCACGACTGAGATATGGCCAAGAGCAGTATTTTTCACAGCTTTAGGAGCCCATTAGCCCAAGATATTTTACCAGATGTAAAATTCAAAAAAGGGGCTCCACACAATTATAGTGTACAAGTCTCATAACCATTCCATTACGGTATAGTTTTTGAGACTGATTAAGTGTCTCATAACCTCTGAGGCTGCTACTGAGAGTGGACTCAGTGGAGGATCCTAAGGTGCAACAAGTACAACTGTACAAACTCTACAAAGTAATTAGAAAACAATGAGGCTCTGCCAACTGCCACTCTGGCAAATCATCATCAAGGGCACTAGGCAGCATCCAGCAGGGAATAAGGAGAATAACTTATTGGCCTACCCAGTACCCTGAATACTGTGAAGTTTTTCCAAGTCCCCTTGGTGGTAGAGACTGGTAGTGGATATTTTTCCAATATTCTGGACTCAGCTTTGGCACTGCTTCCTCTATTTGAGGTTCCAGGCCACAACATCACAAGCCACATTGCCACAACACTTGTATTGAAGTTTATTACCGTATATGAGGTCAGGCTGGTCAGCTGGAGTTAGAGGCACTGCAGTCTGCAGTCTCCCAGTCCCTTAGGCTTGGCATCTCAGACTCAGAGGCTCAGAGTCAGAGCCACTGCTTAACTGCTTTAAAACATTTGCCATCCCATTCCCAACATCATCTAGGGAAAGCTTTCCATGTTGGATGGATAACCGTGGACGGTGGATTTGGTGGAAAGCATTTTTATACATAAACTTCCATTCCTATAATTCCACCCTGCACGAGACTCAAGTTATGAGAAAATCTAATACTGCTTGAAATAAACATGTGCACAATTCAAATATTTTATATCCATTTACTGCATTTAAGTGAAATGCACCAACTTACCAAGCCCCAAGAAAAGCATTGTCTGATATTTTTAATTTCATTTAAATTAATGCATTTGATGATTTGACTCCAAATTTTGGCATAAGTAGGTAGGTACAATCAATGCAGAATGAACAATCTTAAATTATTCTTAAATGTGTTATTTCCTAATTAGTTAAATTATGAGTTATTATCAGTTTTGATTTGATGAGTAATTATCAATTATAGCATGTTCTCGTAATTGGATTTGAAGAGTGAAGACTTTGGGTATGCAGATTAGCAGCAGATTAGCTTTGCTTTTACTTTTAGATCTCCTTACTGTTTACTTCTAAGCACTTTCATCAGCCATTGCAATAAATTGTGAAAAGAAAAAGTACCTACAAGGGTAGAATTATGTGTTGTAGAACATTCAGTCATTCAGAGCCTGGTCAACCATATTGCATTTTCAGCTGGTGAGCTGGAGCTGAGCATTGGTATATTGACCAAGAACAAAGATGATCATGACACTCACAATCACAAGTTGGCGACTTGGCGTCACAACAGTCCAACTCAGCAGTGCATCTCCTCATTGGGGCATCACCACCTCCAAGAGCTGAGAAAAGCTTCCAGCCTCCCAGGGATGGCAGAGGACTGAGGGGAGAAAAAGACCCTGCAGTCTTGTGCGGAAATCCCTTCGTAAATTCGTATAGGTTGATGAATTCATCGAATTGTGTGCAGTGCAGAACAAGATGTCCGAACTCCGACAGCCCACACTCAGAGTCTTCTTCTTCTTCTTCTTGTTACTTCTTATAGGAGCACTGGAAACTGGTCCATTTAGCCCCTTGCCTAAACAGTTTTTGGTTTACGCCTAACTATCATTTAGTAACAATCTAAGTATCTAATAATCTGAAAGAATCTGCAAGAAAAAAAAAGTTCCTTTTTCCTGCGTTTGGGCATTTTATCCGTTTTTTGTGTAATTTGACGGATTCAACTATTAATGCAATGAAAAATTCAACTATCAATGCAATAATCTCAATTAACTATTCGTCGTCAGATGTCGATAAATGGGCAGAAAAACTTACACACGTCCGTTGTCGTCCGTAGCTTCAACCGGAATCCCAGCCCACACTCAGAGTCAGCACACTGCAGTGCACGATTACTGTTACTCTGTTGGAGTCAGCCAAGTTGAATCTGGCCAGATTAGCGTTGACTCCAGCGTCCAGCAGCCGTCCAGACTCCAGCGTGAACCTGACGAAGACGTACACAGCGCATACAAGAGAGCGTGGCAGCGACGCGAGAATTAAAGTATGTAAAGGTTGCAAACTAGCAAGAAAATTGATAAGGTAAAATGTAAAATTCCGGCCCCAAGTTCCCAACATCATTTGATTCATTTCACATTTCAAGCTAAGATTGTCAAAATGGCAAAAATATATATATTCACCATTGGAACAGTTTTACCCAGAATTTTAAACATTACGTGATTAACATTCAAATTACCCCTTTATTTAACAAACGTCAACATCCATTTCAATTGAT